GAATTAAAATCTCCAGTAAATTTGCAATAAATCTTTATGAAATCATCAATCCAAAAGTCGAGCATGTTGAAGTCGATACTTGACCTCAATTTCCTTGAAAATTCTGCACAAGAAATGCACATAAGAAAATTTATAACTATATGATAATAGAAATTAGATCCCCATTAATTAGAACGAATTGGGATATCAAAAATGACTAATTGAATTTTTCTAAAAACAAAAATATTAAGGAATTGATGCAAAAGCAGTAATTATATACATGAAATTTTCCTCCTTCTGAAAGAAAAGAAAGATCGTGTAGTTTTTTTCAAACATACCCACTTCTTTTTATTTGTGCCAACTACGCTAGTTCCAGTCTTCTTGATCATGTTAGCCTGAGAAAAAACATTAAATTGATTATTTTGATACTTTATGAAATACAAAACTTAACATTTCATTGAATACATAAGTGTGCCAATTTTTCAGGAAGGAAAGTAAAAAAAGCAACAAGAGAATCAACAAATTAATTGTTAGCTGTTCAACTGGCAATACAGGTCCACTACCAGGCACTGTAAATAATCGAGATCCATGGCTTCTCACCGTTGGTGCAAGCACTACTGATAGAAAACTAAGAGCCACAGTATGTCTTGGTGATGGAAAAGAAATTGATGGGGAATCAGGATTCCAACCCAAAGACTTCTCCGAGACACTGTTACCACTTGATTAGAAATGTCAATGATGCATTCTGCAGCGCAGAGGCACTGGAGAATATGAATGTTCAAAGGAAAATTTGTATTGTGTATATCTGTATGGTAATGTTACTAGAATTGATAAGGGACATCATGTGAAGGATGCTAGTGGTGCTGGAATGATATTCATGAACGATGAATTGCGAGGGTTCAATATATCTGCCGAACCACAAGTAGTTCCAGCAGCACATGAGGTGATCCAGGCTTAATCTATGACATCAAAGCCGAGGATTATGTTCATTATACCAAACAAAGCAGCTTATATATTTGTATTGAGAAAAGTGAATTGCTCACCAACAATTCCTGAAGCAGAACTAAATTATCTTCTTTTTCAATTGAAATTGGATTAGAAGCTCAAACATATACGAGGACAATGACTAATGTTTGTGAAGGTGTCTCATCCTACGTTGTAGAGATTATTTTACCATAATCCAATAGATTCAAGAGATAACAGCAAGCTAATAATTAGTATTAAAGAAGAACCAAAGCTATTGCAACAACACAATTAATATTATGTGACAAACTGTCTATCATTTGAAGGGCAACCAAGTTCATACACCCTCGACTGATTGAACCAATGATAAAGAAAAACAATAGCTACACCACGACTTGACTTCACGCATAGAGTCAAAGAATCAAAAAGAGAGTAGGCAAAGGACAACAAAAGTCAATCAAAGAATTGTAATCGACCCTAAGTAAAGCTCTATGTAAAGCACAGGTAACCATCAGGCATCTGCAACTTCGATTTGTAAGTGGTTCACAATTTTTGGAAATTCAGACAAGGTATTTTGCATCAGAAATGCTTTAGCAACAACTAATATCTGCTTCTTGAATATAACAATTGAAGTAGCCCAGAGGCAAAGTACTTCACCAAATTGATACTCTTTAAGCATAAAGCCAACTTTGGTTAGCACATTCTCAGTAACTGTTGGTTAGGTCTGCTAACATATATTACACTCATATTTAAGTATCTAGAGTTAAGCACATGAATATTAAACAAACTTAACTGAAGCTGCACAAGCAATTCCCAGAAAAGTCATAGTCATACAGGTAAAAATATTATTACACATAGCTCTTATATTGATCTTGTTGAACCAGATCTGCCAAACAGTCCAGGTATAGGCAAAAATCATAATGAAGACAAGGTAGCGGTTGGGAAAACACAGGGAAACAAGTGAAATCCTTGAAAAAGTGTACATCTCTATCCCTTAACCAGGAAGAAAGTGAAATCTTCAATCTCCTTTACTTGATTGTGGCCCTATATAAGGAAGGAAGTGGACTTCTCTACCTGGTTTAGACTTTGTACTTCTTTTTATGCTCTATTAGTAGTTTAGTACTCTAAACTATTTGCACCAGTTATTCTATCTTTATTCGTGTGGTGATCTGTTGATTCTGTCATTTTGATTTTTTGGAATTTATAAAATTGAGGAAATGACCTGTGTTCTAGAAGTGCTACTCTAATGATTTTGGATATGTTGAGGTTGTATATTATCATAGTTTCTTTTCTATTTTGAGCCGTGCCTACAATTTTAATATCGGATACATTTCTAGTGTCTCCTTGATAAATTAGCATCTCTTACATCTTTGCCTATGAATTCCAATGTCCTGATGTGTTTTTCCTTCCTTTATCGTTACTGTGTTAGTGTTGTGCAGCTGCCTGTATGACGTGGGAGTTGGCAGAGTCAGGAAAGCACTTCATCACTACAATAATAAATGGTTCTGATCTGGTGCCTACATTTTAAACCGATTATGTGTTACCAACTCCTATATCCCAAAATCTAACTGTTGTGAAAGCTGTTGGAGGGTTGGATGGAGGGTTGAAGGAGAATTTTACTAACTTGCAGGAAGGGGTATCCAAATGGTGGTTTCTACATCATGATATACATGAGAATTTACATACTGACCCTAAGAAAGACCCTAGAGATTCTACTACCACTTCTCATCAGACCACACAAGAGAACGAGCACAATCAACTCATCTATCAGGGAAAGGTTTCCAGTCAGGGACACAGTAAACAGAATGACCAACAGGGTAATCTTAATACTTCTCATAACACTCAAAAAAAGAATCAGAAAAAAAAGTTACATTAGAGAGAATAGGAACAGAACATACAAGATAGTGGGGGCACAAAGCAAGGGCAAACTATCAACAACAAATCTCAGGGTAAACTAAGCGAAAAGAAGAGAGATGCCATCAAAAGAAGGCAACAACAAGCAGCAGAGACAGAAGACAATAAGGGGCAAGAGGTACAGGTTCAAGTTGGTCAATATGAACATAGCAACACCATAAATACATATTATGAAATGATACATTCTGAGGATGAGTATGATCAGGACACAGTCTTTGGTGCAAGTTTTTCAATTTTGGAGGCTTAATGCATGAAAGAGTTGACTTTTGTCAACATCCGAAGATTCTGATGTCGGATCAAAATTCCGTCAGTTCCATCAGCTACAGTTGGGTCCTTTTGGTTCGGCTTTCGAGGCTTCTATTTGGAGTGTGTACGATTAGGCGTTTTAGCTTTTGTGGTGAAAACTAGAAATAATATGATAAATTAACACAATTTATTTCACTATACCAACTAAAAAACAACAACAACAAGAACCAAAAGAAAAAGATGATCAGTTAGACTGTTTATGTGTATATGGCATGCAATTAACAGTTTGTCGATTAATCCATATTAAACAAGAAAGAGGAATTAATTGATCTCATGATCATATAAATGTTAGGATTTATGCAATTAAAATAAAATTCAAAATTTTAATGAAATTTTCTCTAACCTTTCTTGTGTGAACACCTGGAACAAATGCTGATGGTTGTTGACAATCTTCAAGTGGGTTATCAGGAACCTATTGCAAAAGAGGAAGACTATTATAATTAAGAGAAACTAAGTTTTCATATAAAAAAAGTATTTTTTTGTGAGCAACACAATTATTGCACCTGCTCTGATTTTAAATTTGCATCAATATTAATTCCCAAAGACTCTACATATGCTTGTATTCCTTCCTTCACTTTATCCGCTATAATTTCTTCCATATCCATTTTTGCTTCCGATAATTTTCTCTCCATCACTTCGTTATTCTCTTTTGCTTCCTCTTTCGCTTCTAACAACTTTTTATCCATCGCTTCCATCTCTTTTTTTGCTTCATACATCTTCTCTGTCATCTCAATTTTCATAGCTGAGGTAGCTTTTTGAACTTCCATCTCAACCCTTGTATCAAAATCTCTTTTTTCAGCCTGAGATCGTTTACATACGGGGCCATATACTAAGCCAGGAGATGCTCCTTTTCCTAGAGTTTGGACAATTCCATACGTGTCTGATCCCATTACTTGGGAGTACACATCATTAGGAGCACTTCCAGGGACATTCAACTCAGGATACACCTCGGCAAGATCATCCATTTGTTTCTTTTTGAAAGAAAGGTAAAGTAATGAGAAGTTTTTAAAAAAAATTGTAATAGAAAGAAAGTACCTATATATTTTTAAAGAGTAAGAGTTTACCATAACTTCACCAGCTATCTCATTTACTGGTTGTTTATTCGCTCTAATGTGAGTTTTTTTTAACACCTCAATACGAGTTGGCTTTACACCATTATTCATCTTTGTCATCTGTTTGAATAGTAAGAGATTGACATTAAATATTCACGATAAGTATTATTTAATATATAAATTATAGAAAATAAATAGTGATTACTTCGTACATCGTCTATAATTTGAGAATGACTTTTTCTCCCTGATGTGTGTGGCATAGTCAATTTTTTTCGACTTTCTTTGTTTCTCTCACTCTTTTCCTAGAAATTTTAACACAACAATATTAAGAGGACATGCGCAATCTTGAATATATAAAAGAAATAGCCAAGAAAAAATATAAAAAAGCAGCATAGTTGAGTTTCACAAAGTGCAATCAATTTCTGTACAAGAACATTTTGTGTAGGTTGGCAAACTGGACATGTACAACAACATTATTTCTACCAATTAGAAGAAAGGGACAAATCAAAAAGAACTTCTAGTTGTTCTACAATAAGAAGTATAATCAGGGAAAACAGAACTTTAATAATTTATGACAACTTCTATGAAATTCTCATTTAGTAGAGCAAATGCAGAAATAGAAATCTAGCACATACCTTTGCTTCTTTTGAGCTCCAATAATGAACTACTGAATGCCACTGATCTTCTTCAACTCTATCTGGACAATGAGCTAAACGCTTAATATCAGTGTTATATGGGTCATATCCAATGGTTTTTTGCTTCATGCTTTGATTCTTTCCATTTAGATCCAAATGACATCATCAGTATGCGCTTCATGTCATCAGTTGCGTCAGTATTTTCCTATACATATATTTAAATTATCTTTTCCTTTTCCATCAACATTCAATAATGTCCAAAATATATTGTCAAATACATTCTTTTCAATATGCATCGTACCAACTCAAAAAATATGCTCTTTTTGTTCCATATATTTTGCACCAATTTATCAACATCATCCCATTTCCTTTTACGAGATTTGGTCAATAGATCTTTACCAAACTTGTTTTTAACATTATTCAATTGATTAAGAATCTCAATTCCCGTCAACCATTTAGGTGCTCCATCTAACTCCTCATGGCCATTGAATGCCACTTTTTCTTTTCGAAACTTGTGTCCATGAGATAACTATCGTCTATGAGACATGAAACAATATTTTCGCCCATTTTTCAATCTTGTATATTTAGTTTTGGTAAGACAACATGGACAAGCATATGTAGTTTTCACACCATATCCTGATAAGTTACCTAACCCTGGAAAATCACTAATTGTCCAAAGCAATGCTGCACGCATTTGAAACATGTAATTGTTTGATATGTCATAAGTGGCAACACCAATCCACAATTCTTTTAACTCATCAACTAAGGGTTGTAGATAGACATCAATGTCATTACCTGGTGCACGAGGACCATCAATAATAGTTGATAATACCATATATGGTTGTTTCATGCACAACCATGGTGGCAAATTATATGGAATCAAGATAACAAGCCATGTGCTATGTGAGATAGACATAGACTTAAATGGCTAAAGCCATCTGAAGCCAATCCAAGTCTAACATTTCAAGGATCTCGAGAAAAATTTGTATGTGCTTCATCAAATTTCCTCCAAGCAATACTATCAGCAGGATGTCGCATTACCCCATCTCTAGTGCGACCTTCAGCATGCCATCTCATTTAAGTAGATGTTTTAGCCGACAGAAATAGTCTTTGAAGTCGTGGTATTAATGGAAAATATCTAAACACCTTTGATGGAATTTTTGATGTTTCTAAACTGGAATTAACTGATGCACATTTGAACTGTTTGTATCGTGGAGCTTTGCAAAACTTACAAGACGTTCTATCTTTCGTCTCATTCCAATAAATCATACAATCATTTGGACATGCATGTATATTTTTATATTCAAGTCCTAAATCTTTAATAATCTTCTAGGATATAACTCACGTTCAGCTTCTTTCAGTAAGCGAAAGAATTATTCAGTCTTCTTATCAAAACCCATGTTATGTTGATTTGACCCATCAAATCCTTCAGCACTAGTGTCCATATCAACAAAAGATGTAGGAGGAATTCC